CTTGAAGACTATGTACTCATCGTTGACAGCTTTGTTGTATAAACTTAGTAAGGCAAACCAGCCCTCGGCAACCAAGCACCCTCGACTTTAGGGTTTGACTTGGTCACAAACTGGTTGTGCTTGGGACCGCATTTGTCATGCCTTGGAAGTCTTCTATATGAACACATTAAGGCCAACTCACCAACGGCAAGCAAGCACGCGCGATTTGAGATTTCAATTCAGTCTTCCTGCTTGAAGACTACGTAGTCATTGTTGCTCACTGTGCTGTATAAACTAACTGAGGCAAACCCACCGACGGCAACCAAACACCCTCGACTTTAGGGTTTAACCTAGTCACAGACTGACTGTGCTTGGGGAGTACTTTGCTTGCCACTGTCGCAAACAAAATTTTGCACAACTTCTACCAGTGCATGTGCTTGTCGAACCTTTCTTGTTCCAAACACGATTTTCTAATGGAACTTTGCTGTGAGCATTAGCCGCTAACCCAACACCAGCCAAGCCAGATGTTTGCGGTTTGGCTTCTTTACGAAAGGTTTCCTTCCACAGTTTCTTGTTCCACCCCTGCACGAACACATTCTACACGGGACATCTCGTCCACGTTCGCAGCGTTTTCGGCTCGACCGTGCGTTCTCAGCGTCATTCCTTAGTGCTCACTACTTGAGGCACGGACCAGACAGTCAGTCTTCTTGCGGCGAAGCAATCTTGACACAGGTAACCATGGCCGGCCTTGCACTCGTCGCGGACTCAGAGGTCATGGTCGTTCTTGGGACTTCCTTTAGAAAGTGAGCGAGGTGCTATCCGATGCCTATGCAATGGCAAACGCCGGGAAATCTGCGGCAGAGGTGGAACGTCGCGCCGCATGCTCAGCACCTCAGCTTTGTTCCTTAGTCCGCAACCCACGCTGCACCCAGTTCGCGGTGAAGTACGGCCCGCTTGCGTACTGCGGCGCCATGCAAGCGCGGGCCCTGCAACCGCGTTGACACGTGGCCACAGAGTCCCTCATCAGGAATTTTACCGGATGCTTCGGGGCGAGCCTCTCGGTGTGCGCTTGGCGCACATCGAAGCTCGCCAAGAGAAGGACATCTCCACAGGCGGGAAGCACCGCGGCAACGATTCGCGACCAGACGGCCGTGCTTTTTGTCAGGACTGCTTTGGCGTGGCGCCGACTCCGTGCAACACTGCCGGGTCGCCAAAGGCCTGCTCACTGAGTCCGGGAAGTTGCAAACTAAACGCGAATGCCGCAGGCGATGCCGACATCACGGTGGCGGAGCACATAGCCTGGAATCCTAAGGCAGGAAAACTAACATAAATTCGGCAAGCACGACCGCTAGAGTACAGGATTCCCCTTGGCTGTCCTACACGGAGAATTTCCTGGTAGCGCTGTGGTTTGCTTTCGCAAAGGCCTGGCTCAACCACACAATCGATCACGCTGTCGTTTCTAGCCGTGCGAGGCCACACCTGGCGACGTGAAGGTGCTGGCAGCGTTGGACCCATATGACCACGCGACGTTCACCCTGGCTGAGGACCGCGTCCCGCGCTAGTATTTTTCGTTAGTGCGCAAAGCTCCAGGATGCCGACCTTGCCATTACCGGGCGGCGTCGAGCACCAGGGGCCGGCGTGCTCGCGAAGGCGCATGGGGCGTCCGGCCACGGACAGCCTGCCTCCACTTAGCGTCGCGCCTCGTGCTGTTGCAGTCGTCCACAGGCCAACATTTGGGATATTATGAGTTTAGGGTTTAGGGTTTAGGGTTTGGGGTTTAGGGTTTGGGGTTTAGGGTTTAGGGTTTAGGGTTTAGGGTTTAGGGTTTGGGGTTTAGGGTTTAGGGTTGTGCGTTTAGGGTTTAGGGTTCAGGGTTTAGGGTTTAGGGTTTAGGGTTTGGGGTTTGGGGTTTAGGGTTTAGGGTTTGGGGTTTAGGGTTTAGGGTTTAGGGTTTAGGGTTTGGGGTTTGTTCATTTGATTCTTACGTGTCTGGCTTAGGAGGAGCTTATCCACACACACATTTTTCAGAGGTTTTAACGGGCCAACCGAAAGGAGCGCCAGAATCTCAATCCCCAACCGCTAAATACGTAAATCCTAAACCCCTACACCCTTAATATAACCCTATTAACCCTAACCCAACTTGATTTGAACGCTTCGCGTCGCCCGCCCCCACACCCCCCCCCCCGCCCCGAGGGTAGGTTTGGATGGAATCCGAATAGGAACCTGTGATTGCTTTGGCGGGGGCCGAGGCGAATCTTACACCCGGCCCTAAACCCTAAACCCTAATCTTAAACCCTGATTTTCTCAACCCATAAACCACAAGCCCGGTTCCTCTAAAGTTTCAATCAGCGGGTGATGGTAGTTTAAGGTGTAACCTTGTATCCCTAAACACCAAATTCCCGAAGCCGCTGCTACGCGGTGTAGGGTTTAGGGTTTAAGGGCGGGCTCTACACAGAAAGGTAAACCCTAAACCCTAAACCCCTAAACCCTAAACCCTAAACCCCTAAACCCTAAACCCTAACCCCTAAACCCTAAACCCCGAAACCCCTAAACCCCTAAACCCACTAAACCTCCGAGGCTGCGAAATGGAGGCAGAAAGTGAAGGTACCCGAGGCGGATTCAGGGATAAGGAGTTTGCGGTTTAGGAGTTTGTGGTGTAGGGTTTTGGGGTTTGGGGTTTAGGGTTTGTAAGGGTTTAGGGTTTTAGGGCTTGGGGCTTTAGGGTTTAGGGCTTTAGGGCTTTAGGGCTTTAGGGTTTAGAGTTTTGATGAATTAAGGAAGGATGGTCTAAGAGCCTAAGGGTTCTTCGGTGGCACCTCATTACCTTTTGTGCGCGGGGTTCCCCTTCAAATCTGCGCTTACCCTACACCCTAAAGCCCTGAACCCTTTCAAGGGTCTATTCGGGGGACTTGGGTCGCTTGAGGATTTGGCGTCTGGGGTTTAGGGTTTAGGGTTTAAGTTTTGTTTCTTCACAGGGTTCCTTCAAGGTTTCATGTGTTTTGTTGGTTTAGGGCCGTGGTTTTCTTTTAGTTTGAGGGTTGAGGGTCGGGGGGATAAGCTGAAAACGGTTTTCCAGATTCATCGTGAGGGCTTCTTTAACGCAACTGTCCGAAGCGGGTGCCGAAAAGTATGGGATGCAGTTTATATAGTCGCCTCAATAATTACCAATATGATTTGGGGAGCTCCTTATCATGATTACAGTATAATATGGCCCTCTACAGATTTATCAGGCTCTTTATTTTGACTCCCTGATGGCTTGAGCTGCTGTAGGGTTCGACATGTTTCAGAGCAATCCCAAATTGAAGAAGAATCCACGTCAATCATTCGGTTTGTCATTTCAACTACTAAGCCTTAGGCTCTAAGCCGTAGGTTTAGTTCCCCATTACTCAACCTTTAAACTTGTTGGGTTCTTATAATTGAGTAGTAATCTGAAAGCTTAACCTTGTATTTCCCTGGCTTATTGGGGAAGTACGTGGTTTGCCGTAACTACAACCTCAAGCGACAAACCCTATGACATACACATAGGGGTTTGAATACTTACCCTTGTCTAACTGATCAGGCGTGTATAGTCTGCTGTGAACCGTTGTAGAACCTACCGTAGACGGCCATAAGCTGATTTTGTGTAGATTCTTACTATAGACGCTTGATATAGAAGCTATAGTGACCCGACAAAAAAGTAGGTTTTGGTAGCTCAAGGCCCCTAAACCCTAAACCCCTACACCCTAAACCCTTAAACCGTAAACCCTAAAACCCTAAATCCTAAACGCCTAAACCCTAAGCCCTAAAACCCTAAACCCTAAAACCGCAAACCTTAGACCCTCAACCCCAAAACCTTAAACCCTAGACCCTACAACCCTACACCCTAAACCATGAAGATGAAGTGCGGATCTCTCGATTTCCCTGCTGAGCCCTAGCCACGCTTATAGGAAGAGCCCAACGAAGCCGACACTACCGTCGCCAGCGAGGCCGCGTCGAATATGGAACGTTGTACCTTCAAAGTTTAGGGTTTAGCTTAAGAACCCAAAACCTACTTTTTTGGTAGGGTCCCTATAAATCCAATATTAGGGTTTATAATAAGAACTTACAAAAAAGTGGGGTTTTGGGTTCTTAAGGTAGGGCTTAGGCTTTAGGGTTTAGGAGTTTAGGGCTTGGGGTTTAGAGTTTCCTAAGCCCTAAACACTGGCTCATAGTAAAGAAGGAGCCAACCCGAGTTTAGCGCTCTATATTGGGCCTTGAACCCGCAAACATGGCAGAGCGTCTGAACATGACGGGTCCTTAGATCAATGTTCCTCATGTTCGGGATGTTTGGCGGCACCCCCTATTACCCTAAACCCTAAACCCCTAAACCCCTAAACCCTAAAGCCTAAACACCTATGGGGTTGAGAGTGTAGTGGTTCGTGGGAAATCCTTTATTGCTGACAGAGGCTCCCCAGCCCCTAAGTAAGCCATATAATGTAGGGGCCTAAATCATTACCAATAATTCTTTTCTGGGGGGTTCCTCAATATAAGTATAGTATACTATGCCCCAAAACCCTCAATCCCGAAACCCCCAAATCCCGAAACCCCAAAAATCCTAAACTAAACCCTAAACCCTAAAACCCTGTTCTAATTGTTGAGGCCCCCATATTACCTTTGTTGCCACCGACCCTAGGCCCTAAACCGGAAGCATGCTGAGACTGTGAGATGCTACGACATAAACACTTTCCGGCCTTGGGGATTTAAGGTCCGGGTTGATTCAAGACTAGGGTTCAGGGGTTCCGAGCCACACAGGTGTTTAGAGGTCCGAAGAAGCTTAGCGTTGACGCCTCGCAATAATTCTGGACAACGAAGTGCTAGTGCTAGGTTTTCAGTAAACATGATGGTTTTGCTATATGAGTTTTTTGATGCTTTCCCGTTCACCTACAGTGAACATATCTCAGAGTTCTACACAGCGACCACAGTGACAGTGTTAGGCTAGTGTACTTTAGGCAAGTCGAAACACTAATAACATGCTTTGAAGATCCCAGATATCAGTATACACCTTGTAATAATACGCAGCGCCACAGCCTCATTCATTGGTCTGAAGACAAACACCTATCAATACATGTGCATCTAGACACATTGATTCTGCACACATTCCTTCACAAGGTCCTACTAACTGCACATGTATTATGCTCGGCTTTGGCAACGCAGCTGTCGTGAATATACTGGCTCATACCAACAGCTCGGAAGCCGAGAAGTTTGGAGCAACCGAGTTCAGGCCTCACGACACGTAGCTTTTGAATCCTTCAAGTCTGCAGTCAAATTAACCCGTGAACCTTAAACCGTAATAAACTCCCTACCCCGAACCCTGCTAAACTTCCTGACCCCTATTGTCAACCTTTACATAGTAGCAACCCCCAACTCTACATAAGCCTCATGGTAACCCTGCGGTCGTCCAGGGTCCTGCTCATGAGTCAGCTGCTTTATTCTCTGTCGGGCTGTATCCACCTCCATGGCCAAGACAGCAAAAAGTAAACGGAAGGCTTGAATGTGGAGAAAGCCATAGAAAGGGGAGAGGGTTGCTGCACGACGTGTTTGTGGTGAAGGGCAGTAAGAGTAATTGGGTAAGCTATAAGCCTAAAGAGAAAAAATGGCGTTTCCAGGTTGAGACCATCAAACGGGGCGTAACACTTGAATGTGGCAATCGTTGGGGGTACATGAATGTAAGCTTACGGGGGGGACAAGGGAATATTGATATTCTGAAGGAGCGAAGTCAGAGATTTCGGGGGCCGTCATCTAGAGTTTTAGTGACAAGAACGAAACGACAGTCACAAATGTTGCATTCAAGCAGCCCGCTGCGGCCTTTGGATCTCGTGTCTAGGTCCTAATTACAGGCTCTAGCCATCAACCGTAGACGCCTAAGTGTCTTGCCAACATACTGTAATTAGGTTTCTTAACCTTCAAAGGCTCATGAAGGGTGTTGATTCTTTCGGCGCTTGAGGTCGTAAAGGGCCTCTGGCCTATCATGCTTTTCCCACTCGCTTCGCTGACTAGGTCGTGCTGCAGGGAAACTGTGTTGAGTGGCCTATCATGTGTTGTGTAGGGCTCAATCTGACCATGACCCTCTTCTAACCCCGTGAAAACCTGGATGATCCTACCAAGCCCTAAACAACCTGAGGATGTTAAAAGTGCCCTGGACCGCCAGACTGGGGTTTTTCAAGTTTAATGCACCGCAGCCCTCTCCCTATATCCGGAACCCCTGAACGCTACACCCAATGCCCAAAAGCCGAGACCAAGCACACAAAAGCAGTAAAACCAATCATACTAACTACTACTACTACTACTACTACTACTACTATTACTCCTCCTCCTCCTCCTACTACTGCTACTACTGCTACTGCTACTACTACTACTACTACTACTACTACTACTCCTCCTCCTGCTGCTGCTGCTGCTGCTGCTGCTGCGCACCCTTAACACCTAAACCCTAAATCCCCTGGCACCCTAAAAGTCCGCAGAGCTGGCAAGTAGAGCTCTGCTGCCACCTCTGTGATGAGATCCGGATCCTGGTCCAAGTCACCATCGAAATCATCCTCTTCAGCTTGACCCCTGGCCGAGGATGCAATGAAGGCTTACGCTTTTAAGTTTAGCCATAACCCTCCAGGTACCTACTATATAGGGCCCTAGGGGCTCTAGTACCCTCTATAGTAGGTACCTGGAGGGTTAGGGTAGGGTTTAGGCTTGAGGGTTCCAGCTTGAAGGTCTCGGGCGTTGGGGTGGCTTGAAGGTTTTGAGCCTCTTTGTCCGCGTTCCTGGGTGGAGGGAGAGGCGGTTTAGGGTTTCAGCACTCACAACTGGGACAAGCCTGGTTAGGGTTTAGGGTTTAGGGAGCGTCTTTTGCTAGGGAGCCTTGAGGAAGCTGGCACCTTGTTGATTGCGGACCAGGGTCTCTAAATGGGCATTCCCGACACTCTAAGCCCACATGAAGCTTGATCCCTAATCCCTAAACCTTGCGCCCTAAACTCAACCCTAGACACTAAACCCTAAGCCCTGATCCCTAAACCTTGAGCCTAGTATACGTAATACACCACATTATAGCCTATAATTATGGCAAAGATTATAGTATATATCAGTTTGTATATGTACATACAATACGATATCGCCTATATTTACGGCAAAGACCAGAGTATATATCATTTTATGTATGTACATATAATACGTTATTGCCTATATCTATGGCAAAGATAAAAGTATATATCAGTTCACATATGTACATCCTGAATATTATAGGCTATGTTTATGGCATAGCTTATAGTATACATCAGTTTTTATTATATGTGCATATACATTACAATCCATTCTGTCCTTAGGTGCACCTGAATCAACCCCAAGATCTCGGAAAGAAGCACCTTTCCCTCCAGCACCCTAAACCCTAAACCCTAACGCCAGGAGCCCCTAAAGATCATGACCCTAAACCCTAAACCCTAAACCCTAAACCCTAAACCCTAAACCATGAATGACAGCTATCCTCTTTGGTTGGACGCCGAGGCCCAGGGTTTTAAGTCTAGGCTGCTTTCGCTGAAGTCTTCCGATTTAAAGGTCTAGGGTTTGGGGGCTTAGGGATTATGGGGCTTACTGTAGAGGGTTTAGGGTTTAGGCTTCAG